TAATGGGGTGCAACTGGTCATCTATATTTGGAACTCAAAAGTTTGGGCTAGAGGTCTATATTCCAGAATCATGGACATAGGGACACCTGGGTGGCTCAGGCAGCTGGGTGTCAGCCTTGAGTTCAGATCATGATCCCAGGTCCTGGGATGGAGCCCAACATCGGGCTCCTTGCTTAGTGGGGAGCCCGCTTCTCCCTTAAAGAAAAGAAAAACAGAATCATGAACATGGAAAATGGAGAATAGGCACAGAGACCAAATTCTGCTGAACAACCAACACTCATTCATTCATTTTGAACAACCAACATATAAATGCCTTGCTCGCACTCTCCCTGGAAACTTCCCAATGATCCACCTTCCTTAATTCGTGCTCCTAGTTGGCCAGTCACTCTTTCCTGTGCATTCCTACACTCTTTGTGATCCTCTACTATAGCACTTTTCAGTCTACATGGTAACTCATGGTAACTCACTTATATATTTGTCTCCTTCACTCAGCTGAGAGCTCCTTGAGGACATGGACTCTTACTCAATGTTCAATCTCATGGCATTTCATCTACTACATGGGCAAAGACTAAAATTATGGAAGGATGGTACCCAGAATTGATTGAGGAGAAGGGAGAAGAGACTGCTGCCTCTCCGGCTGCATGGCTCAGTCTTTCTGTACCATTTCTAGAATTAACCTATAGATATACGGATACGAGTGCACAAAAAGGTTGTTCAATAATGCTCATTGCATTGCGATTTGCCATATTGAAAAGGGGAAATGACCCTTACACATTTCCAAATATAGACATCAGATCTACATTTCTATCAGAAGTGAACTGTTTAAGAGGTAGCTGATGGAATTCTAGGCAGCCATGAGAAAATGAAGTAGATTTCCTGAGAAGGAAAAATGACCAGAATATTTCATTAAAAACAAGTACCAAACTGTTCATATAGAATGCTGCGATTTGTGTTTAAAACAAAAAAGATCGATTTGCATATAGATGTATTAAAATGTCTAGAAAGCTACGCAAGTAACCACTGAGTAACATTTTGGAGAGGGCAGGCAAGTGCATGGGCAAGATTTGGGGGGAATTTCACTTTATGCCTAATCTTATGGATTTTTCTTTTTTCCTTTTTCTTTTTTTTAAAGATTTTATTTATTTATTTGACAGAAATCACAAGTAGGCAGAGAGGCAGGCAGAGAGAGGAAGAGAAGCAGGCTCCCTGCCGAGCAGAGAGCCCGGATTCGATTCGGGGCTCAATCCCAGGACCCTGAGTTGAAGGCAGAGGCTTAACCCACTGAGCCACCCAGGTGTCCCTGGATTTTTCTTAAAACTAGAAACACACACACACACACACACACACACATGATTTTATTTTTAAGTGAGCTCTACACCCAGCGTGGGGCTTGAACTCACAATCCCGAGATCAAGAGTCAAATGCCCTACTCGACTGAGCCAAGCAGGTGTCCCAGAAGTATATATTTTTATAGTAAAAAAAAAAAAACTCAGAAAAAATTTTGAAACATTGAATCTTGGACTCTCTTTCTCCTCTCCACCTTCCACATGTTTGGCATCAAGTAGGTGTCTAAGACTGAATAGATGAATTACACTTTTGGAAGAGAAACTCTCCTGTTCAGAGCTGGAGCCTTTCTCCCAAGAAATGGCTGCAAAGCAGGAGAGGTAGACAGGGCTTGTGCATCTCCCATTGGTAGAGGTCACACAGGTCAGGCAGCTACAAACTTCCATCTTTCCCAGACCATTAGGTCTCACTATTAGTCCATTAGGGACTCACACGAAAGTGAAAGTCTGCAATAAGATACTCAATAAATGTGTGTAGTAATAATAACAATGGTCACCATCACCTCTCAAGCACCTACTAATTGCCCGCCGGGTGCTGAGTGCTTTAATCCTCACAGCCCAGAGGTAGGTATTGTTTCCACTTGATTTTATCAAAGAGGAAGAGGGAGAGGCTAAGTGAGGGTAAGAAATGTGCTCCGGCATCCAGCAGGTCAGAAGAGCCCAACTCCATCTGAATCACTATGCTCTCAATTGTTCCTACATCCTACACCATAGTAACAGGATTATGGGAGGAAATAGGGTAAAAGTTACTTTTGGGCTAGAGGTCTACATTCCAGAATCACGCACAGAGGGACGCCTGGGTGGCTCAGGCAGCCTTCAGCTCAGATCATGATCCCAGTGTCCTGGGATCGAGTCCAACATCGGGCTCCTTGCTCAGGGGGAAGTTTTGGGAAAACAAAACAAACAAAAAACCCTCCCTTCAAAACAAAGTCTAGTTACAGTCAGTGAGAATGAGACAGATTAGACAGCAGGCCTTTCAAACCCACAAGCAAGATGATGTACCACTTCAATGGGCACCAGATAGCATGATAATAATTTTCCTTTTGCTTGTAGGTTCTACTGTCAGGAGGTTTACCCCTGTATTTGTTTACAATAATTCTGCAAGGTAGAAGTCATTACCTCCACTTTATGGAAGAGGGAACTAAGGCTCAGACAGTTGTGCTTTTGCTACTGACACACAGTGAGGACAAGCCATTGCTGGGTTTCAATCTGCCTGCCTCACTCCAAAGTCAGTCCTTTCACAAGGCTATATACTGTTAATACCTTCAGGTGAACTGTGTGATACCGTGCCCAACACAAAAAGACCTCTGGGCTTTCAGAACAGTAATTAATCTTCTAACCCTCAGGGAACTCCCTGGGGTCAAGCCCACCTCCACCCCAATGGAAGGCTGCTGCTTCTCTTACTCAGTTAGTAAACCAAAGCTCACAGCCCATTGCCTCAAAGATTACCTTTTGTGTGTCTCACCAGGAAGAAGAGCTCAAACCTCCTTCAACCCCACCCTTTTCAAGTAAGTAAACGTTTCGCATCCTTCCAGAAGGACTGGTGATTCTAGTCCAGAAACTCACAGATAGTACTACCCAGCTCCTTCTCAGACACTTCTTTATCAAAGTTTTATTAGCCTCAGCTCGAGGTACCTCCATCTGGGCATCTCATTACAGAGCAAGGACAGTTCAGCCATTTGTAACACCACTCCCACCCAAAGAGGATTTTCAAGGACAGCAGCAGAAATGAGTTGCCTAAGAGATATAAATCCACCTTGTCCCCTTACCTGTCCTCCATGCATTTGCTCTCTCGACCCTCGTATTTTTTCACGGTCTGCAACTGGATTACTCCCATTCCTTAAATGCATCTCTGACATTCTCATCTTGAATGCTCATTTATTCACACTTCCCTTTGCCTGGAACTCATTCTCCCCTGGCCGAAATCTATCTCCTGCCTTGAACTCCAATTGCACATAATAGTCACCTTTCTTTTGGCACTGGTCACATTACATTCTTCATTACAATTACTCAAAAAAAAATGTTCTTACTTACAAACTATGTGACTTCAAAGTCAAGTACTAACGGTGGAGATATATATATATTTTTTTTTCTTTAAAGATTTTATTTATTTATATTTGACAGAGATCACAAGCAGGCAGAGAGCAGAGAGGCAGGCAGAGAGAGAGGAAGGGAAGCAGGCTCCCTGCTGAGCAGAGAGACCGATGTGGAGTTGGGGTCCCACGACCCTGGGATCATGACCTGAGCTGAAGGCAGAGGCTTTAACCCACTGAGCCACCCAGGCGCCCCTATTTTTTTTTTACGACAATACTCTGTGCGTAATTTCTTTCCCCCACCCCAAGAAGGTATAAGAAGGTATCCAGGCCTTAAATGTTCCCTAGTTTGAAGGCTTCTAAATTTCGGATTAAAAAATCAACAGTTTCCAGCCCACATAGAAGACAATGTCCAGAAATGGTTTTGAAAACCATGGGTTTAGTAGGGGAAACGATCCCAAAGGAAAAGAAATGGGAAGGCTTTGAATGGGGGAAGCACAAATCTGTGGAGGGAAAGAAAGGTTAGAGAAAGCACCAGGTTTCTGAGAGTTTATGGGAGTAGAGACCTAGGCTCATTTGCATATAGCACCCCGGGGAAGAGGAGACCGCTGTGGGAGACTACCCACTATATACCCTGGCCTTGAGAGCAGTGGTGTGAGGCTCTGCCCCTTTGAGCAAGTCTGGAATGATCCATTGTGAAGGGTCCAACAGAGGCAGGGGGATTAATATTCATATCAGTAGAAGGAGCCATGCTAGTAATATAACCATCACGGATTAAGGACCTGCATTCGTCCTCACTTTTTTGCGCAAAAAATACTTAAGTCAGCAGAGAGCAGCACTTTGTGCGAAGAGCTAAAATGCTTCGTCTTTTAAAACGACTTCTCGGACCAACAATGGCTAACCTTTTAGAGCCTACTATATTGGAAACCGTGGGATAGGACTTCTGGGGTTCCCTGCTTCAGTCGGGCGCCCCTTTCCTCGCTAGATTTCAGGTCTCCGATCTAAACCTTCCCTCTAGCTCAAGTCCTCCAATAGCCTTCAGTTTTCCCGCTGACCCGTCCTTCCTCAATTTCTCCCTCCAAGCTTCCCTTCCCCATCTCCACCCCTCATCCCTGAGTCAGACTCTCCCTTAGTAGTCCCGTCTTCACCCCTAGTTTCCCCCGTGCCCTGTCTCTTTCTCTTCCCCGTTCAGGCAGTCTCTCTCCTCGCTTCCTGCCCAGACCGCCCTCCCGCGACCCCCACTCTGGTTTATTTCCACACTTCAGTGACCCTCCTCTTCACCTCACTTTACTCCCACCCGAACCCCATTGAACACAGCCCCCCTCCTGGTCCTAGCCGTTGGCGGGGGCGTGGCCCCGCGAGTAACAGGTCTCCCGCCCCACACTCCGCGGGCCCGCGCGCAGACAAAGACATTCCACAGCCCCCGCCTCTCCGCGCACTCGGCCAGAGGGGGAGGAGACACGTGTCCCGCTAGCGCCGAGTCACGTGGAAAAGAAAACGAACGAAGCCCGCGGCCACTCGCGCACGCGCACAAGACTCTGGCCCGGCGGGCTCGGAGGGAAAAGGGGAGCGGGTAGGCGACTTCTTCGGGCTCCGCGGCCGTGCGCAGGCGCCGTGGCCCGACTGGAGACTTTGTTCTCCACGGAGAGACCCAAGGGCGGTGCCGGTGGCTGGCTGCGCACGCGCGCCGCCTCATTTCCGGTGCTCTCTTTCGCTGGGTCGCTCGGGTCGGCTTCGGTCGCTATCGCTCCCGCTCTCCCACCCCCGCCAACCGCCGCTCGGGCCTCTGCCGCTGCCGCGTCGCTTCCTCGATCCCTCGATCGCACATCCGCCCCAATGCAGCGCCGGGACGACCCCGCCGCGCGCATGAGCCGGTCCTCGGGCCGCAGCGGCTCCATGGACCCCTCCGGTGCCCACCCCTCGGTGCGTCAGGCGCCGTCTCGGCAGCCACCGCTGCCTCACCGGTCCCGGGGAGGCGGAGGGGGGTCCCGGGGGGGCGCCCGGGCCTCGCCCGCCACGCAGCCACCACCGCTGCTACCGCCCTCGGCCACGGGTCCCGACGCGACAGTGGGCGGTCCAGCACCGACCCCGCTGCTGCCCCCCTCAGCCACTGCCTCCGTCAAGATGGAGCCGGAGAACAAGTACCTGCCCGAACTCATGGCCGAGAAGGACTCGCTCGACCCGTCCTTCACTCACGCCATGCAGCTACTGACGGCAGGTAAGCGGGCCTCCCGCGTCCCTCTGGGTCGCCTGGCCACCCGGGGGCATGGGCAGCAGTGGCTTTGTTCCGCCCGCTTCCCGCCCCCTCGGGGCCAAGGCAGTCGTGAACTCCCCTTCTCTCATCCTCATCCTGGAGAGCCTGGACTCCACACTCGCATCCCGGCCTTCGGTGCGAGGGAGAATTTCTAGGCTGCAGTGGAGGCCCTAAGGGGACTCGCGATCTCTTAGCGCAAAGATCTTGATGGATAGCGCTGCGCTCCCCGCCCCTTTGCCGACCCTTCCCCCTCCCACTTCTTGCAGCTGCCCTGCGCTCTGAGTGTTCAGATGCTTCCAGAAATGAACCTTTATCTCCCCCTATCCCCAAAGGGAAGGCTTTCTTCATTGCGGGTGGCGGTAGACGCCTCTACTGAGGGTGTAGGGGGTGAAGACAGCCCGAGCCGGGGAGGGACCGTAGGAGGGAAGGCCGAGGTGAAATGGGGTGAGGCTGAGTGCCCTGTCCAGCGCACCGCGGTCTCTGGGGCCGAGTCGGGCTTAGCGGTAACAGGAGTTGCTCGGAGGCAGGAGCAACCTGTGGGAATCGGAGCTTGAGGTTTTCCGAATCAGATTTCCGACTTTAGCAGATAAAATGATAATTGCTATAGAGCTGGAAGGTTGGACCCCGTTATTTTACAAGGTGTTGTTCATCAGAAGGTTAAAAATAATCCTAGAGACCGTGAAATGGGATAGGAGGAGGTAAAGGTGGTTTGCAGGACATTCCCTAAGATGGACAAAAACTGAGAGAAGTTGAAAGATGCTTGTGCACGAAAGGCTTGGTCTTCTTGTTTTATTTCTTTTTGCTTCAGTAGTGAAATAGATTAGGAAAAGTAGTCTTTGTTCTCAGTCTGTAGACTTACGCTCCGTTCCTGCTCTGCACTGGCCAATCACCTAGTCGCTCTGATTTCTCCCTAAAGGCGTCTGTTTTGCCCTCACTTCTAGTTAAAACGTTGTTTTAGTAAGTATTTCTTAGGAGACCTGAATTTTATAAGTAAGTAAAAAGTTGCAGCCTTCAACACTAAAAGAGTAGTTGGACTGATAAAATGGACAGAGCATTATGAAAATACCATTTCCCTCCCCTTTGTTCTCTGTCTTCCTACATTGGTAAGGGGTCTTCACTTTTTAACGGGCAATAAACAAAGCTCACTGTAAGAACATTTGGATAAACTGCTTACATTTTCAATTGCTCTTCTGTAACACAGTCAGATTGTTCGAAACATTGCTGTTCATTGTGTTCTTCTGGCAATCGTTTTGAAGACCAGGATGCCTTTTTTTTTTCCTTCCATGTTGCCTTGCGTATAGCAAACACCAGGTGTTTGAACCTGAAAGCAAGTACATGCAGACTTAGGAGTGGCAGGCCGAATGCTAAATAAAGGTTGACTTGGTAGTCTGATTTTTATTTCCTCTAGTCTTTAAGCAGTCCAGGTTAAATGAGTAAGAATAACAAACTTTAGAAGTTAAAAGTGTTGACTTGGATTTGAAATTCTGACCCTTAGTTACCCACTCTTAGGAAGTTTTCTGAACCTCAGTAACCTTATCTGGAAAGTGGGATGGTGAGTTGAGAAAATTAAATGTCATGTAAAAGTAGTAACACTATTCCCTTTGGCCATAATCAGATAACTTATCACCAGTTTTCTTCTAGTTGTAAATCCATGGTACTGAATAAGGTATGAAAACAAGGTGTTTTGGGGATGCCTGAGTGGCTCAGTCAGTTAAGCATCCCCCTTTGCCTCAGGTCGTGATCCCAGGGTCCTGGGATCAAGTCCTGCATCTGGCTCCTTGCTCAGCAGGGAGCCTGCTTCTCCCTCTGCCTACCTCTCCCGTTGCTTGTCCTTACGTGCGCTCTCTCTCTGACAAATAAATAAAACCTTTAAAAAAAAGAAAGAAAGAAAGGTATTTTTTTTTTTTTGCCTTTCTGACCACACCAAGTGCCTAGTACAGTGTCTTTCAAGTAAAACGTGGTTTCTTAGAATAATCAAAAACTGTTGATTCTTAAAAGTTACTTAGAAGGGGCCCCTGGCTGGCCCAGTCGGTAGAACATGTGACTCTTGATCTTGGGGTTGTAAGTTGGAGCCCATGTTGGGTGTAGAGATTACCGAAAAATAAAAATCTTTGTTAAAAAGTTACTTAGGGGCTCCTGGGTGGCTCAGTGGGTTAAGCCTCTGCCTTCTGCTCAGGTCATGATCTCAGGGTCCTGGGATCAAGCCCCACATTGGACTCTGCTCAGCAGGGAGCCTGCTTTCCCTCTCTCTCTGCCTGCCTCTCTGCCTACTTGTGATCTCTGTCTGTCAAATGAATAAACAAAATCTTTGAAAAAAAAAAAAGTTACTTAAAATTTTCACTCTACTCTTACTGCTAAAATTCTGTTACAAGAAAGTGCTCTTTAATATTTCTCAACTTGGGCTTTTTGGTGTTTATTATTGTGGTTGTTTTTTTTTTTAATAAACTCAAATTTTTGAATTGGAGAATTGGGGCTGAAGTAATGCTAAATCATTGAGAAAACAGACTTGGGGTATATGGATTCTTCATAGTGTGGTTAAGTTTGGTATATATTAGACCTGGCTCTTAATGTATTTTTAATGATCTGGAAAAGGGGTTATAGTGAAGTCAACCCACTGTGAGGAAGTAAGAAGTTGAGAAGACAGAATAATAGTATTTAAACTCTGATAAAGAGGTGCCTGGGTGTCTTAGTCAGTTAAGCACCTGCCTTCGGCTCAGGTCATGATTCTGGGGTTCTGGGATCCAGTCCTGCATTGGGCTGCCTGTTCAGTGAACAGGTAGTCTGCTCCTCTCCCTCTGCCCCTCCCCTCAGCTCATGCTCTCTCTGTGTCTACCTCTGCTTTCTCTCTCTCTCAAATAAATAAATAAAGTCTTAAAAAAAAAAAACCCTCTGATAGGGATATGTGTAAGAAAAATAAGTGTTCTTAATTGTGCCAGGCACTAGTCTGAGCACTTTAAGTCAAATATTTAGTCTTTGTGACAATATTATGAAGTTACTTTTTTTTTTTTTTTTTTAAGATTTTATCTATTTGACAGCACACAAATAGGGAGCGGCAGGGAGAGGGAGCAGCCGGCTCCCCTCAGAGCAGGGAGCCCAATGGCGGGACTCAATCCCAGAACCCTGGGATTATGACCTGAACTGAATGCACACACTTAAGTGATAGAGCCACTGACGCACCCCTGTGAGGAAGTTACTCTTATCTTCATTTTTACAGATGAGGAAATCAAGGCACCCAGAGATTAAATAATTTGTCTACAGTAACAAAATTAGTAAACAGCATAACTAGGATTTAAAGCGCGCCTGAATCTGGATCCATACACTTAAGCTTCCCCATCCACCCCACCCCCTACAATATATAGTACCTGCAACAAATTGTACTTCAGAAATATTTTGTAGGGGCACCTGGGTGTCTCAGTGGGTTAGAGCCTCTGCCTTTGGCTCAGGTCATGATCCTAGGGTCCTGGGATTGAGCCCCGCATTAGGCTCTCCGCTCGGCTTCCTCCTCTCTCTCTCTGCCAGCCTCTCTGCCTACTTGTGGTCTCTGTCTGTCAAATTAATAAATAAAATCTTTAAAAAAATATTTTGTACTACTTGGACAAAATGGTACCATTTATTTGAGCGCATTGGAGTGTTAGCTAACAGGTCAGTAAAGATAATAAGGCTAGAAGAAGAAGGAAAGCCAGAGAGCAGAGCCTAGCTCTTGCAGCTGACTCTCCTCAGGTACCTCTACCCATTTCCAAAGAGAAGCCTCAAGACCCAGACCGCTCTTCCTTCAGCAGCCACATACCCCTTTGTGCCTCTTTCCCAGCCTTGCTTTATTTTCTTTGAAGATTTTATTTTTGAGTAATCTCTCTTCCCAATGTGGTGCTCAGACTTAGAAACCTTGAGATCAGGAGTCGTATGCTTTACTGACTGAGCTCATCAGGTGCCCCTCTTTACTTTATTTTGCACTTAATCAGCATCTGATGTACTATATATATTTGTTATGTGTGTATTTGTTAACCGCTCCTCCTTCAACAGCTAGAATGTCAGCTCTACCAGGGCAGGGATCTTTTGTCTGCTTTGTTCACTGCTCTATCTCCTGTTCCGTGAAGCGTGCTGCACAGAATGGACTCTTGCTAAATATTTGATGAACGAATATTCATCTTCATTGCATGATGGAAAAACAACACAGTTCTGAAAGATTTACATTTTAAATATAGAGTTCTGTGTTAGCCAAAATGATACTCAGTTATAATGACAATTAAATGCATTCGCAGATGTGTAAGGACTCAGTCTACCCGTACTTGTTTTCTTTCTTTCTTTTTTTTTTTTTTTTTTAAGATTTTATTTATTTATTTGACAGGGACAGATCACAAGTAGGCAGAGAGGCAGGCAGAGAGAGAGAGAGAGGGAAGCAGGCTCCCTGCTGAGCAGAGCGCCCGATGTGGGACTTGATCCCAGGACCCTGAAATCATGACCTGAGCCGAAGGCAGCGGCTTAACCCACTGAGCCACCCAGGTGCCCCCATACTTGTTTTCTAAAACAAAAATAATTTATCTTGTGTTACATATTTGTGTAATAAACATACAGTGCTTGTGTGTATATATATCACTATTCTTTTTCTACTTTGTACAATTAGGGAAATATAAGTTTGTGTAAATGACTCAGGAGTAGTACGTAAACATTTTGTATACCTTAACAATTCCCACAAGATCTTGAAAATATACTTAGAAACCCGTCTTTCAAAAGCAGTCATTGGGTATTAAAGACAGTCTGTTGAAACTTCAAGATACTTAATTCCTTTTTTTGATGCACAATATGTTAGAGAAATATCTATTTCATTTCATTTATAGGGGCTAGCAAAATCTATTAAAATCAGAAAGTGGAATTAGTTGCAAAGAATTCTAGACCAAATATAAGTATAAATAGTAAGGTAGATAGGCCGAGGTTATCACTGTTTCAGCAGTGTTGTTGTTTACATA